ATATGTGCCATCCAGTTATGGAATGGGCCTTTATTGGCGCTGATGGTGCACTTTGTGTCCCAACTGGGGTGTTAGTGGTGATTATCATCTCTCAGGGCCGGCCGGAGGTCTGCCTGTTTGATTTATAGCTGGCGTGTACTCTGCTCCACAAATTCTACAGAAGTTTCTCTATGGGACTAGAGTTTAATCTAATCTAAAATAAGTTTGTAACTCAGTTTAATTACAGGAGAGAACAAAATGTGCCCTCTATAGGACATTTTAAAATGACATATTGAATGTAATTAGTGGTTCTTGCTTTAGGTTTATAGGATTAGGGATTTGAACAAACCCCAAACTCTTAAGTATTAGTATGTTGCCTCAAACCGTCCAGAAGAAGTTATTTTACTTTTCTAAATGATCAGATGTACAAATGTACCTGCATTGAAGGAGGAACCTGAGCCTTATCTAGAGACCAGAATGGAGTGAGGTCTTTTTTACTCATTAAACAACATGCTAAAAAAAAGCTTGATTCTGATTATAAGCTCTTGGTTAGATTAGATTCTGATCTCAATTTGATTCGATATCAACTCATTTGAATCGATTCAATCACTATGACAGGTACAGTACATGGTATTTTTTAAAGAAAATAAATCTCTCTCAACTGAAGCTGTAAAATAAATAGGTGATAATCAACCATCTTGTCAGTTGGTAATCAAAACTCTACAAGGTTTTTTTTTTTCAATACAAACATTTAAATTCCACATGAGGCAGATTTGAGATATTACATTTGTTTCTACTTAAATTTATTGTTGATATATAAACTTTTAAACTGTAGCTTTAATAAAAACTTGTTTTCATGATTTATCCATAAAATATAAAGCATAAAATAACAGGTTAAGTAAAAACATAATGAGTATGTAACATATATTTAGCAGAGCAAAATATTTTATTTCAACATACCTTCTAATGTTCATTTATGTTTATTTCAGTTGAACTGAGGCGACTACAACGATCTGTCACACCACATTAAAGAACGTTAAAACAAGATTTATTGTTTGAATTTGTGAGAATTTGAAATCTGAGACTGTTTCTTATGAAAAGTAACAAAGAACAAACGTAATGCGATTATTGGATGGCAAGCACACTACAAATAATGTTTAGTGAGGTTTTGTTCATGCATCAACAAACTAAAAATATACTGAAAGACTAGTCTTGGGATTTAAGAATCAATATCAAGATTGTTAAAATAAAGATGAAATCTATATTATTCATCTAGCCCAACCAGCTTAATGCAAAAACCGTAACACATTAGAAAATGCATAGCGACAAGGTAAAACACTCAAAGCACATTAAAGGGTTAGTTCACCCAAAAATGAAAATTCTGTCATTAATTACTCACCCTCGTGTTGTTCGAAACCCGTAAGACCTTCGTTCATCTTCGGAACACAATTTAAGATATTTATGATAAAATATGAGGGCTCTCTGACCCTCCCATAGACAGCAAGGTAACTACCACGTTCAGGGTCCAGAAAAGTACCAAGATGATCGACAAAGTAGTCCGTGTGACATCAGTGGTTCAACTGTAAAGTTTCGAAGCTACGAGAAAACAAAAATAACGACTTTTTTCCACATTTTCGTCTCTACTGCGTCACTTGTGGATGCGCGTTCACGACAGTATCATGAGGCAGGCGTGTGGCGGCGCTGACCCAGATCCAGCGTAATGACATCATCACGCCGGATCTGGGTCAGCGCCGGCACCGCCACACGCTCGCGCCATGGTACTGTCGTGAACACGCGTTCAAAGTGACGCAGAGCCCTCAGATTTAATCAAAAATATCTTAAATTGTGTTCCAAAGATGAACAAAGGTCTTACGGGTTTGGAACAACACGAGGGTGAGTAATTAATGACTGGCTGGGTAAAAAATATCGATATCTCGATATTAATCAATTCTCTTTTTTTACGGAACGTTATCGATTCTTAAATCCCAAGAATCGATTAGTCTAGCCTGATTCAGTTAATGGACGGAACGTTGAAGGTGATGGAACTTCCCATCCAATATATTGCAATAAGCACTTTGGTACTTTTAATATGAAACAAAGTCTCAGATTTCAAATTCTGTCCATTGTATTGCAGTATTCAAACAATAAATACTGAGTGACAGATCGCATTTTGGAAGATGGAGAGACAAATCTATACTTATTTCAGAAAGTATTGATGATAGTGATATGAGTGCATCAGAAAACCAAGTTGTAGTAACAAAACAAGTTGTTGAGGACCAAGGAGGATAGAAGCAATGAGGGTGAGGGCAGTGATTAGTAAGTTAAAAGAAAGAGTACAACTTTACAATCCGTATCTTGTCTCATGTAATCGCTCAATCAGTGTTTCCTCTGCGCAAAGACGTCAATATAACGTCTTTGAAAAGATGCCAATGTCTATTGGCATTGCTATACTGACAGACAGCGATGCTCCAATGATGACTGCACAAGTCAACATCTACTTATGTGTGGGGTACACTGAAAAAGAAGAGTCTTGTTGATTTTCACATGTACTACGATAATTGATTTGAAATTACAAGATGAAACACAATGTTAAAGTTGTTTTAATGCTTTTGAAACACTAAGACATGGTTTTCAGGCAGTGAAATTGCATCCGAATTTGTGTCAAATTTTAGACATTTTCACACGCGAGTTCCAAATCAAATATAGCAGCACAGGAAAAAAAATGGAATGTTCATAAAGATTTTTTATGTTTTTTTGAAACAGTAATACCTTTTCACTTCTTTTCAGATAGTGAAAAAGCATTTGATTGTGTGTGAAGTTTCAGACAATTTGCCAAAAATAATTTACCCTAATGGGACAACGTCAGTTATAAATGACGGATCCCTAATCCGAAGGTAAGTTAAAAGAAACAGTACAACTTTACAATCCGTATCCTGTCTCATGTAATCGCTCAATCAGTGTTTCCTCTGCGCAAAGACGTCAATATAACGTCTTGTAAACAATGTCAGGTAACATCACATTTACCTCAGAAAAACATATTCGTTGACCATAAATTCATTAGTCAGATAGAAAAATAAACTGTAGAGAGGGGCATTTTGCTAAATTTTTTCAGGCAGTGAAATTACATCCGAATTTTTTTAGACAAGTTTTAGACATTTTCATGCACGAGTTTCAAATCAAATATAGCAGCACCAGTGGCGGCTCGTGGGTTTTAAAATATTGGAGGCACACTAATTGTATTGATGGGATCCCTGCAGATTATTATTATTATTATTATTATTATTATTTGCTTAAGCACTTTAAAATGGCTTTTTTGTTGCTTTTAGTCAGAAAACATAAAGAAAACGACACACATACAGCAAGATAATATAATTTCACTTACCTGGCCTATCACTTGAAGCAAACATCCATCCCTTCTTAAAAGTCTGTGTTAAAAGAGAGCTGCCTGTTGTGCTATTTAATTAAGCCGACTGCTGTAGTCTATATCCAGTTAGGAGTGTTTTCCCTTTTTTTAATTTTGAATGCTGTTTGAATGACAGCTTGGTAAATCTGTTGGCGATCAAATATTCAATATCGCTACTCATCATAAGTACTTGGTACATTATCAGTGCAGCAGGAGATGTTCAAACTAATATCACCTAATTTACGTCTCTATGATGATTGGTTGATATCAGAAGGGAGGCTAGCCTCCCTTGCAAAGTTTCTTTTCTCAACACTCCTCAGCGCTGAAAGGGAACACTCGATGGTGATTGGCTAATTTTTTTTACCAACGGAGGCACGAGAGCTCAGCTCTCCCCCAGCCTCCCCCTCCCCTTCTATATCACTTTGCGGTTGTAATTACATCAGCAGATTCGGCACATTCGCGATAGAAAAGCGGCGCTTTCCAACTTCATATTAACATGTTATAATATTACAGCTGTGAAATTACAAACAAAAAATACACATTCTGAGACATGAACTGAAATTAATTGTGAATTTTATGAACATTAAATCATCCTCCTCCCATTTTCACCTCAAAATTTTGGGGAAGCTGTGCCTCCCCTGCCTCCCCCGACGAGCCGCCACTGAGCAGCACAAGAAAAAAATGGAATGTTCATAAAGATTTTTAATGTTTTTTGAAACAGTAATACCTTTTCACTTCTTTTCAGATTGTGTGTAAAGTTTCAGACAATTTGCCACAAATTATTTACCCTAATGGGACGTCAGTTATAAATGACGGATCCCTAAAGAAAGGTCAAAGGTCAGATGAAGAAAACTTTTGGAAAAGGATTTTACTCCTAAATATATGTAAAATATAAAGTCAATTATTTTTTAAGCTGTAAATTCACAATTAGTCCTATAGAGTAATGTTGTACCAACTGATTCTCATGTATATTTTACAGCATTAGTTGAGAGATTTTTTTTCCTTGAGAAAATTTGGCATGTACTGTACCTGATATATCTCCAAAATAATCGATATTGAATGGGAATCGAATCAAATCGCAAGCTTGTGAATGAGAATCAAATCGAATAGTGAAATTTGTGTCAAAACCCAGCCCTAATTAACAACTTCTGCATTATTAAATACCACTTATATTTTCCTCAGAAAGTGGACAATATTAGTTCAGCTTTTACTGTCAGCTGTGTACAGTTTTAATAAGAATGTTGTAGTAATCTTCACATGTTTTGTAGTATGTGACGTAGAGTAATGGCGCTTTAAGGAGACATATTATGCCCCTTTTTACAATATGTAATATAAGTCTCTTGTGTCCCCAGAATGTGTCTGTGAAGTTTCAGCTCAAAATACTCCACAGATCATTTATTACAACATTTTGAAAATGCCTATTTTGAGTGGAAGCAGAAACACGCTGTTTTTCGTGCCTGTCTCTTTAAATGCAAATGAGATGCTGCTCCCCGCCCTCTTTTCCAGAATAGAGCTGCGCCATTACAGCTTGGACCTGCTACCTGGAAAAGTCAGATTTTCATGATATGTTACCTTTAAGGAAATGTGTTAACTGACCATCTCTCTTTCTGTTTCTCAGGAACTGCAGTTTGAAAGATTAACTCGAGAGCTGGAGGCGGAGCGTCAGATAGTGGCTACTCAGCTGGAGCGATGCAAACTGGGATCTGAGACAGGTGGCAGCATGAGTAGCATCAGGTAATGCAAATGTACGGTGTGGGAGTGTGCAGGGACTATCTAATGCTTCAACAAGTCTCTGTAATGAGATCATGTTGCCTGAAGGATGTAATTGTATGGTTAAGGAAACGCTGACAATATTCTTGACTTCGTGCAGGGGTCAGAGTGGAGTTCATACAATTTCAGCTCATATTGTGATTTACATACAGCACCGTGAGTTTGGATGTGTAAGAGAGCGTGTACATGTGTGCGTGGGTCCACATGTTGGTGGATTTCCATTTGCGGATCTAAATGCTAATGTTCTTGCGTACATGTGATTCTGTCACATGAGGGTACCCGGGTTAAACTAGTTTCCACATCAGAAGAACAGGTTTCTTCTCATGCCTTGGAGAACCTCATAGACATTTACTGCATGACAGAGCCCCACCTGAGCCCCGGATTCACACACATTACTTGGATTTTATTGTTTTTATAAAAAAATAATTAAAGACTTGACCTACAGTCGTGGTCAGAATTATTGGCACCCTTGGTAAATATGATCAAAGAAGGCTGTGAAAATAAATCTGCATTAATCTTTTTGATCTTTTATTTAAAAAACAAAAACAAATATCTAACCTTTCATTGAACTAAAACAATTGAAAATGGGGGAAAATCTCATTATGAAATAAATGTTTTTCTCAAATACACGTTGGACACAATTATTGGCACCCCTAGAAATTCTTATGAGTAAAATATCTGTGAAGTATATTCCCATTCATATTTACAATTTTGAACATACCAGGGTGATTATGAACATGAAATTATCCAGCCATGGCTTCCTGTTTCACAGGAATATAAATAGGAGGGAAAACAAAGGCCAAATTCCCTTAATCATCCATCACAATGAGAAAAACCAAAGAATATATTTCTGATGTGCAGCAAAAGATAATTGAGCTTCACAAATTAGAAAGTGACTTTAAGAAAAGAGCTAGAGCAGTGAAAATTCCCATTTCCACCATCAGGGCAATAGTTACGAATTTCCAATCAACAGAAAATGTTACAAATCTGCCTGGAAGAGGACATGTGTCTATATCGTCCTAATGCACGCTGAGGAGGAGAGTTTTGAGTGGCTAAAGACTCTCCAAGGACCACAGCTGGAGAATTGCAGAAAATTGTTGAGTCTCTGGCTCAGAAAACCTTCAAAAAAAAAAAATCAAACAGCACCTACACCCACATGTTGTTTGGGAGGGTTTCAAGAAAAAAAAATAAAGAAAAGAAACAATCTTATAATGGGCCATGTTTGGTTCTTCCAACCGGAAAATAATCCAAAAACAAACCTTAAAAACAACACAAAAATGAGTCACTGGGCACAAAACCAAGCTTCTGCTATGGCCATTACAGTCCTCTGACCTGAACCCTATAGAAAATGAGTGTGGTGAACTGAAGAGAAGAAGCGCCGTCATGGAGCTGGGAATCTGAAGGGTCTGGATGAAGGAATTGTCTCTGATCTCTTGTCAGGTGCTCTCTAACCTCATCAGGCATTATAGGAGAAAACTCAGAGCTGTTATTATGAGGTTTCAAAGAGCATTGAATAAAAGGGTGCCATTAATTGTGTCCAATGTGTATTAGAGAAAAACATTTACGTCAATGATATTTCCCCTCATTTTAAATTCTTTTTCTCCAATGAAAGGTTAGATTTATGTGAATTTTTTAAATAAAAGATCAAAATGATTAACAATGCAGAATTATTTTCTATAATTAGCATAATAAATAGTATGATATATATATACAGTATATTTCATATTATTTATGATAGTGTATTTACCATATACACTTTAGTTCTGAAAATGTGGCACATTTGCATTTATACATGTTTTTCCAGCTAGTTGTTTTGACTGCAGTTATTTGTTTCTAAACTGTATGGTAATGTTGGTTTAAGTTTCAACATTTGATCGACTGTATTTATTTATTTAAACTTTATTATAATCAGTATAGAATAAATAAATAATAATAACAACAATAATAATAAAAGTAGTAATAATAATTATCATCACCATCACCATATTGTTATATCTAATGGTATATAAATATTATTTTAAAAATTTATTTTATTTAAATATATTAGTTTTATTTATTTATTTAAATCAGTACTTTTTATTATTAATATTACTATTTTATTGTAATCAGTATGGATTAAATAATATCAACATTAATAAT